ACTTCTTCTCAATAACCAAAAGGCCCAGGGTACTGATATTGGGCCTGTAGCATGCTGGGATGAAGGACTATCAAGTTTGTTCAACTGAATGACCTTGACCAACTTTCAAGGTCACAGGGGTCAAATGTCGTAAAATCTTCAAGCGACTTCTTTTCAATAAGCAAAAGGGCCAGGGTACTGAAATTGGGCCTGTAGCATGCTGGGATGAAGGATTACCATGTTAGTTCAAATGAATGACCTTGATCCACTTTCAACCTAATGTCCTTGTTCGACAATCAAGGTCAGAGGCGTCATATGTTTAAATCTTTTAATAGGTTCTTATGAAATCTTAAGATTACAAGTGTTAGATTAATAACAGGTGAGCGATGCAGGCCCATTGTACCTCTTGATCTATTGAGGCCAATGGAAGTTGGCTTTACAATTAAGGCCAGGTTAGGCTTTCAATTGAGGACAAATGAGGTTTTCCAATGAAAGTAGAATTATGTTTCCCATTTGAGGTGAAACAAGGCTTTCAATGACACAGAATGAGGTTTCCAATTGAAGCCAAATATGACTTCAAATCGAAGACAAAGGATGCTTTTCAATTGCTTTTCAATTGCAACTAAAACTGGTGCTTCAATTGAGGTTATTTGCAGTTTTTCATAAGTGCATTTCAATTTATACGCAGAAATAATTATAGATCAGGCAAAATAATCCAATGGAGACAAGGACGTTTTAACTATTGAGGAAAAGGACACATTTGTGTGGTGGCGGAGTGACTAATTGGGAACAACCTTTTAGAGAGGACAATAAAGTTGTTTCCACTGGGACTAGAACAAGGTATCTTGGTTGCCTGATTGGATATGTCCTGAGGGGGACATTCACATCGAAATGGCACATAGGACCAAATGGTGTAGTGTTTCATGTCAACGGAGACCTAGGTAATAAACCGAGGAAGGTGATATACCGATACACAACTCGAGTCACCTTCTATGAACCACTGTAAGCTTAAGGGTTATCATGTTGAATCTTAATTTGATATTGCTGAATGAACAGACAGCAAGGTGTGTTGATAAAGACTATTGTTCTTTTGTGCCCTTCATCTCAAATCGATTGATTAACCTTTGTTCTAGTCTGTAGAAACACGTGTTACATTTATTGACACAGATTAGTACGTATTTGAGCAACAATTGGTCAATGTAACAGCTGCTATTGTAACACCCTGGTTAATTATTAGATGTTATCATATGGTCTCTTCCATACATAACCTTACCACAGATCAATTGAGACTCGCATAACTACCCGAGGGGCTAAAGCTATTAAGAACGTATTTCTTAAACGAGGAACATTTTTTAAGAAAAAAATACCCAACATTTTAAATTGTTGTCATAATTGTTATGTTGTAGAAAACTTCTGATTTGTTTGTAAATTTTTATGTAAATTAAATTGACAAATTAATATTATAGTTTTGTTTTATGACTAATATCTTAAAAGTTTAGCTAATGATTAAGAGGTTAACAATGTTCTCTGTTAGTTTAACGCTATTGATAAAACTTCGCTCGGAGAAGAAACTAAATCAGCCAAGGTCATTATCATGTGTAGGAATTTTATGGAAAATGTAAAATTATCATAACCTGACGCCACTGTTAGAATTTTGTTACCGATGATGCTGCTTTGGTGACTGGTCTCTTTTTTTTCTTCTTATTAAAATTAATTAAATTCTAAGGGCGTTATGACATAGCAACGAAACAGCGTTTAAAGTTATTTGTCTATGTATCTTGCAAGAAAATCCTAAAAATTTGCATATCAAAATAATAACTGTAATCTTAATAGGTTTTCTACCAGCATGTCACACACGTTTGTATCAACTAATAAGTGTTTAAGCGTAAAACCACAAACACATTACCCACATTATTCGTCATGTTTTACAGACAAAATGTTTCTGCCTTAGAGAAGTGTCTTAACGATATGATCTCCAATAAAGAAATATACCGTTTTATCTTCCTCAAGTTGTTTCTTTATTAGGCACCTTCATCATAATAAAATATAGGATATTTTTACCCAGTGTTCAACATTCAGTTAAAATGTTCAACATTTAATTAGACATTAATCACTTACCGCATCCTATAATTTAGACGAGTATTTAAGCTTTTCAACTAGAAAAAAAAAACCAAACTATGAAATGTACTTTTTCAACTTTATTTTCAAAAATATTTCCTAATCCCTGCCCTTAATTTTTTTTAACTCTTTTCTCTCATCACTCAAGTATCCGCTAGATAGAAAATCTTCTCGTTGATTGAAAGGTTTGGAGGTAATGGACATAAAACCTACACAAATCGGTGTGTGTGTGGTGTGGAACAGATCTGCATGTCGGTGTTTTGTAAACAATGTTCAAATAACCTCACATTCGAATCTGTCATGTTTCGCCCACTTTGTAGCGGTAACAATGTTCTGTCTTTCGATCCCCAAAATCTTGTGACAAAACAAAGCAGTTGGTTATATGCATTGTAAGTGTTGTTGAATTTTATTTTTGAAGAAAAGAAAAAACAGAAAAAGATGCACACCATACAACACAAAGTCAAAAGTCAATACAAATGGACAATGGCAGGAAGCGACGAGATATTGCAGCAATGACAATGAATCCCCACAACACTAAGGCAAAACCGGCTGATTGACACTTTTACGACAACTAGGGGCTCCACTAAACGGTGTTCATAGTTAATGGACTGACCAGAGACCGTTTTAAAGTGACCCCATACGGATATGTCAAAAGTTCTACACGAGAGCATGACGCCTATCAGAAAACGCAGATTACAAGTTCAGCAATAGACTACTTTGGTCGCGTATAAGACAGAAAACATATGCTAGTTTTGGTCTTGTATACCAAATAAAAGAAACATCAAAATAGTTACCCTTTACAAACATGCAGTGCGATGAAGCAGGCCAATTATTCCCGAAAAACTAATGGGGTAGAATTGTGACATTTTTTAAAGAATCAATTTTGCCTTTCATTGAGCTAAAGGTAGTTAGAAAAGGAGAGAAAATGAATAAACTGTAAAAGAAAATTAGGTGATAAAAAAGTAGGCAAATGCTATTAATAACAGTTCACGGAAGAGAACGCATATGAGTACTACGCTCCGACGTCAGAGAAGATTTTGCTTAGGTGATCTACATTTATCAATATCTAAATTACTATTTGTTGTCCATTTATTACCGACTTAAGCTGTATTTAAATGTTAACACAATGTTTTCATACATTCTTTGCAGCAGTATCACTCGTTGTAAAGATGAACAAGAACAACTCTGTGACATCATGGTTTCGCTTCAACGACAGTAGTTGGAAGTTTTCCATTGCTTTATAGCGTCTAG